GATACGGGGTTGGGAGCTGCGGGTGGTGGGTCGTCCGGAGGAGGATGTTGTCACCCTGGCTGCTAAATCTGGGAGATTTTTTTTCCCGTCTTACTCATTGTTAGCAAGTTTATGGGGAGTTTTTCAGCTCCATACTGGCCAGACATGAGTCAGCCGTTACCTGGAAGTCTGCTGCTGTCAGTCCTACGCTGAGTCTGGGCTACTAAGTCTCACAAAGAAGCTGGACAGATGACCTCAGGCAAGAGACGCAACTTGCAGCCAGCTCAGGGCAAGGACAGAGCACCTGCCTGCAAAAGATAGCAGAAGCATATGTAAGACTGTCACCTTCCCACCCACGATGTGCAAATCCTTTATTTATCCTCTGGGAAAATTAATCTTTGCTATAATAGCAGAGATCTGCACCACCTGATTCATGCACCTTCCACCTGATGCTGAGCTGCCCAACACGGTGCTTATTTTAGAAACATCATCATAACCCTCATAATAGCAGGTAAATCATTAGAAAAAGATGAAGTGAACTGACAAACTGGCAGTGGGAATTTCAGACAGTACAAAACTATTAAAGAGACTTTGAGTCAGCTATAGATTATTTATTACAAAAACAGTCAAAACTGAAAGGACCAAAAAAGGGGGAGAGAATAAGGAAGAACATGTATACAAATGTGAAAGGAGATTAAAATCAAAGTCTTAAGTGAATATTCAGTGTAATTCTTTCCAAAAGGAGAGTCAGTTCATATGTCAGAACAGGAATGCATTAATGACAACTGTAATATTTTCCTACCCTAGATATATAAGATGCTGCAATATGAATGTTAATACAACTGAAGATATAAATACAGCTGGCATAATCTGCCAGCAATATATGTGGGAAATGGAAATAGCAAACTGCTGGGTTAGCTCAGAAAGAACAAAGCTCAGTTGAAAGGAGTGCAGAATATATGTTACAATTCTTCTCACCTTGTTTCTACAAAAATAGAACATGTCCAAGTACAACAAAAAGAAAGAACTGAAAAGGTGTTGGAGCACAGATTTGCTGCTCCTCGGCTGTACTCCGGCCTTATGCATCACAGCACAAAGCAACTCGCACTGTGCGAGCTCAGCAGGAGGCAGGGCCTGTTCGAAGCTAAGAGCAAAGAGGAGGCCAAAGTCCAACATTACAATTTCCATGAGTATGAATGAAATGCCCGAAAATATTACACAAAGACAGTAAAAGTACTTTTCACTGTAATTCCTGAGTTCAAGCTAAAAGGAGTAGTACAATGAGAACAGCTGGGCTTTTCAGAAAATGCTTTGTCTGTCACTGAAATAATCTAAAATGAGCCTGTTTAATCTGGATGGACCGTGAGGCCTTCAATAGCGAGTTATGAAACTACATGCCCAGTGGCCTCTTTCTAGAGTCTCTTGATCTGGGGCTGCAGAAAGGTGGTGAGGCTGGGGGACAAAAATGCTCAGGACCGCATTTTCAAATGGTATCTCTTTTGGACTTCCTTCCTTCAGGGGTCATGCTTTGAGATGACTCTTGGCTCCATCTTATCTTCAGGGTGCTGATTGTCTCCTGACTCAGCTGGGGTACTGGTATGCACAGTGTAAAGGCAGGAGGCCTGGAACCTCCCACTAAAATGCAGCCCTAAGAATTCACCCCAGAGCCTACATTTCCAAACCACGTGGGGTCACTCACAGCATGAAGCAAAGGCAGAAGCAAGCATTTTAGCTCAAGGTATTTGTTCCTCTACACTAAGCAGTAAGCAATTGTGCCTCTCCAAAGACAGTATACAAGAATTCAGCTGTACTACAGAAAACTTTGGGAAGTCACGTGCTTTCTTCTCTTTTTTTTTTAAAAGGTCCATGAAAGAAAACGAAGGTTAAATGTCCAAGGTGAGTCACAGTGTGAGCTCAAGTCATGCTACGTACTCATTCCATCTTAAAACCAGTATAGTCGTTGCCTGCTTTGGGGTAAGTATCTCTAATTTTCCACCTGCAGCAGCTTGGGATGACAGCTCTGTCTTCCAGATCAAAAGAGCCAAAGCGCCAGTGAACATACTGCTTGTAAGCCAGGTGACGCAGCTGGTTGTTGATATTGCCATCTGTCAAGTTGAGAAAGGGGTCTTCGTAGAGAAGGGCTTTCCTCAGGGTGTGACTGGACAGCACCAGCTGCAGAAACCAATGGGAGGTTGTGATGCACGGCCCTTCTGTCCTTCGGCAGCAGAGCTGCTCATGGTACTTCTCTGTTGGCTGGCAGTTGCCACAGCAGCACCACTTTTGGCAGTCTGGGGAAAAGGCCCCTTGTCTGAGAGGTCGCCCCAGCTCGTATTCTTCATTATCAAGGTTCTCGTTGGACTGGCTGGTGCAGCAGCTGCCAGCATCATAGAATTTCACAGGGTGGCTCTGCAACAACAATTCCCAATATAAATTAAAGAAAACAGCATTTGCTGCTTCATCCAACTGCAGAGAGAATTTACAACAATGATCCTCACATTGGGTTTTTCACTTGACACAGCACAATAGGGATAATGATGACAGATCAGCAGATCTGGAGGAGGATTGTCTTTCTGTGTTGCCGACGCCCACCCTAGCGAAATCGAATCGACACCTCGCAAGTTGTTTCAACACCAACGCACTCCCGTTGGCACATACCCACCACAGGAAAGCAGGAATTTTTAGGTGACTCTAGAAAATACATCCTCTGGTCACAGGACCTATTACCTTGAAGTGGACAACAGGAATCTAGTTTTAGCCCCTCAGAATCTAATCTGGAAATATGGGGGGATAGGGGTGGCGGAAACCCAAATTAGTTTGGAATGACATTCCTCTGTTCTCCCTTCTGAAGCTAGGATCCCAAAGGTTAAGTGTCTGTCTTTACCTCAACAATGCTGCCTTGAGCATGCTGCAAGCTTGTTTTCAGAGGCTTCTTTATCAAGGTAACATGTGGCTCATCAACATAGGACACAAACATCACCTGTACAGCAGAAGAAATGAGGATTGTCAGCTGGAGTAGTTACTTGGAGAACTGGGGACAAACACAGCATAGATCTGACCTCAGGGTCAGACCGCAGGGCTTGGGTTCTGCAGTCTGTACTCCAATAACAATGCCCTGCAATTGCATGTTGCAAGGGCCCATATTTCCAGTATCCAGGATAGCAAGGACATGGGGAGCTGCGGGGACAGAGGGAACAGGAAGAGATGATATGGAACTAACTGTAGGAGTGTGGTTGTGCAGGGCCTTTAGGTACTCTCCTCTTCACTCTTCTTTAAAAATACATGTCTAAAATGCTGGGGGATTAGTAGAGGCAGCCTAGAGAAATAACCATCAATGTCTTGAAAAAGAGAAAAAGGCAACTGAAGTTGGCAGGGAAGAGGCTTTGAGCAATGCCCTCTTCATGGACAACCCTTTCATGACATCCTTCTGCTGTTTTGAAGGATCACTACTCCCTGCAGGATTCCCTGATAGAGCTGGTGTAACTCTGCCATGCCAAGGTTGTGTGTAGAGCCTACTGCACGCATGCAGTGCGTGCCACGCACAGCTCCATGGAAGCTTCCTGGATCCGCTGCATTTTTGTACCCGTAGAACAGCAATTTACATTCTTTACCTGTCTTGGATTCAGCAGTGTCTCATACTTTTTCCTGTTGTAAATCTTGTAGAATGGTGATTTGCTGCATCTGGAGCAATTACATAGACAAATAGCAATTTCAATGGCAGTCGCAACCTGCACGTGAAAAAAAAACAAGTAGTGATTCCACTTTGTTAATGAGACTGTATCTCCAGAACTGGTTTTATTAACACATAAAATAAGTCTCTCACCAAACCAAAATAGGAGATCATGGACCCAATGTTCTTAATGAGTTCAACGCCGTTAAATTTTCTACCCTTAAAGAAAGCAGAAAAGAATAATTGGCAGGCAAGATCTGTTACCATTCATTCAACTTAATGGCTTTTCTCTTTTTGTCTCTTTACAAGGTATCTTTGTCTCTTTACAATTCAATGAATCCCAAAATTTCATTTTCTCAGACACTTTGCAGGGGAGAATAAACAACTTGAGAGGGAAACAATGGTGACACACAGGGTTCATGACAATAACATCATGTCATGATGATACCTGTTACTGTCTCAGTCTTAAACAACAGTCCTGCCTCTCTCGCAGCCCTGCCATTTCATCCTCAGCTTTGCTCTCCTATGCTGCTCAGTTCAGTTTAGATCTACTCATTTGACATGACTTCCATCCCAGAATGATGGACAGGAGAGAGGAGAGGGGTATATGGCAGAAGTGGGACTAAGGAAATAGCAAGCTTTCTTCTCCCTCCACAAGGAAAAAGAATTGCATTTACTGTGCCGAAGACAAGGACATCAAACCGTATTCCATAGACTTTGAAAAGGGTTCTCTGCTCCTTCCCATTTGGTAGCTTGTAGTACCTTGCATATCTGCAAAAGAGTAAATGAAGATCTGTGCAGCTTCCCTGGGTGATATAATGCCATGAGGCTGCAGAACACAAAAAGAGGCGTAGTTTCTTCTCCCTTCTTCCTCCAGCCCTTTCAGCCTTCTGAAATGAAGGTGCTAAGGTCAGCTTTATGAACAGTATTTTGCCCAGCATCTGACCTGACAGTCAAAACTAAATTAATACATACATAATACATATAGAGATTTAGACAAATTAAAAAAACAATTAATGTCCAATGAGTGTTTTGCTGTCTCAATTCAAATTGGAACCTGAAGCTGCAGAAAGAAGTTCAATCACAGGTAAAGCAGGTAGAAAACCCCAGCAAGGGTATGAGGAGCTGGCAAACACAAGAGTGCCCATGCTCTGAAGGCTTTGATATCATGTTATCCAAGACCAACTCTGAACTCCTGAGCACATTTCAGCATGCTGGATATCAGCCATTTTCCATTCTTCACTCAGTAGAGAGTGGTAAGAATCATGTGAGCCTTTACTAACTACCAGTTTCTTATTCTATCATCAAGAACATGACCCTCCTGATGCACACCTCACATCAGCTTATGGATCAATAAGCAGTCACAGAGCATGGAACAAAGAGATCTTTTTAAATCTGACAATGAAAAGCTGGCAGTGCAGACAAAATCATTACATCAAACTGAAAGACATACTAAAAGACACAATGGTGTAACCTCTGATAACAACACCCATATGTCTTCTGCCTCAGACATGCTGTCAGGACTTAAAGTGCTGTATTGTTCTTGACTGGTTTACTTGAGTGATCTCTAAGTCCTGTTCTCCTCCATTTAGATAAATAATTTGAATGGGAATTTGCTTAGCCAAAGGGACAGAAGGTCAGTTCCCGGGGCAGCAGATACTCACAGATAGCTCTGTCATTGCTAATCAAAATTTGTTTTATAGTTGGTTGCCTGTTCAAGTACTGCAAGAGTGAACTGTTTAAGAGGATATGTCTAGTGTAAATGCCATCAGCTCAGCTCTCTGCTTTCTAGCATCTCCAGGTACTCGTTCAGATGATAGAGACATCTAAAGAAAAATACATTTTCCTCCTTTCCTTTCTCTTTCGGTTCAGTCCCTGCTGCTCTGCTTTGCCATCTTGATGCTAACAAACTAGCCAGAGCAAGCTTTTGCTTGATTCCACTCTCTCCTGCACATCCTACTGCAAGCTAAGTTTGGCAGACTTTCAGAGTGCTTTTAATCAGAGTTCCCTAGATCATGCGATCATTTGCTTCCCATTCACCGTGATCTAATTTGTATTCTCTGAAAGCAGTGAGTCACTCAGAAAAACACATTGTAACGTGTTCTGCTTTCTCCTTGCTTGCGCAGACATGAAATGCCCTTTTTCCTCTGCTGAATGGTTCCACAGTCTGTGGCCAAGACATGTTTTATTGGCCAGCTCTTAGCCTCTGAAGCCTGCAGGTCAGTTAAGTTTTATTTGAAAGTTTTCCTAACTCTTTCCAGGATCAGACGTTTTCTCTAGCCCTCAGGGTAGAGGTTATTTCACATCTGCTCTTGATGGCGTAGAAGCCTTCTCTTCTGTAACAGCTTTGTGCTCAGAGCTGATCTGTTAAGACCTTTCTTGACCACTGGCTGAAGCTTTGCTCCCTTGCACCTCAAGTAGTTTTTCTTTTGGAAGGCTAAAGCCTGTTTCCATTTAAGTCTATCACAAAATTCCCTTCGGACCTGAGATGAAATCAATAGGGGTCCATGCAGACGGGTTATAAGCTGCCCAAAGTAGCTTTCCTGACTTCTAGGACAGCTAGACTGCAGGGGAAGCAGCATTCTATACATGCCCTGTTTCTTATGCTCTTTTCCAAAATCTTCTCCTGCTATTGATCTGTGTTAGCTTTAGGACACTGGGCTGGATGGACCTGTGATATAGTAATATTTTACATTCTTATGACATGTCACTGATGTAAAAAATGTTTTCTTGAAATATATTAATTGTAGGATCATTTCTAGCTCTCCCTCCCTTAGTCACTTGGGTAGATCTACTGAAATCAGCAGCTCTGTTTATACAAGTTGACATACACTAGCTCAACAGTGTGGCAGGGTTTGTGCATGTTCTTTGCCAAAACATCCATGCTTGTTTTAAATAGTATTATGCTCAATCTATTCACTGCTCTTCAACTTTCACTGTCTTTGCTTTTTAAATTGCTGCACTAATCTACTCTGCCCCTCTTTTTTAGTTTTGGAGACACTAGAGAATGACATTTCTTTGCCAATAAACCCCTTGATTAACATATACAGAGTCAGGCCCCCAGGATGTGGTCTGGCATCATGCACACTCTCCCAGCAGCCTATGTTCTCAGACCAGGCTCACTTCCTGCAGCAGAGATTTTAGCTGAACTGTAGCAAAATAATCTTGCTACAGACTGGTATTTTGATGCTTAAAAGATAACAAATTTTGGGCAAACCCATCCTTGGCATTTTGACCCCAGCTGTTAATCTGACACTAAGCATCCTCAAAATTACTCCACTGTCTTCTTCCAAAAGCCTTCTCAGAAACTGCTTTGCCTGCAAAAATACATTCAACAGAAAGGTTGTTGGCCTCAGCTGCTCAGCACTGTCTTGCTTTTTCCTTGTGATCTCCCCCACCTTCTGTGGTTGCCAGGTCAGAGGGAACACCTGTTTGTTCTTTGTTTGCACAGCTCCAGCACAATGCAGCTTTGGAATACGCTGGCAGCTCCTAGACAGTTATGGCACTCATGTTAGCATCACAAATGTATGAAAACCCATAATGTAATAATAATCATGCCGTGAGTCAAAAAAAGAGTGTTGTTACACAAGAGTTTTGACCTAGATCTGAGGGACAACTTTAGCTTTAAACATGCTGATAAGCATTTGATAAATGCTTCGTGTAACTATTTAGAACTGGAGTCATGTCAAGATTTTTTGTCAAAACTTCTCATAAATCTGCTATATGCGCACAGAACCAAAAGCTCTAATTTGCTTTTGAATAAATCTTGATTCAGTGAACTGTGGGGTTACCCAGATGGAAGAAAAACACTTTGTTATTTTATTTGTGTTAATTGCCTTGGGAAACTCACAAGTTTAGGTAGTTTCAAGCCTCAATTGCCATATGGTGAAATCTGCCCAAACTATTCTCTGTGTTAGCTCCTAGAATACTTGTTGGAAATTTCTAGGACTTTCGACACAGAAATAAAATCTCCTGCAATACAAGCATGCTCATTTGGAAGATGACCATGATGATACATCTATACAACTGCAGTAACTGCAGGTTAAGGACATGACTACAAGAGTGAAGAAGGAGAATCAAGCGTCTTGTCTCTCCAAGTCATCATTGCCCATACCTCATCACATCTTTGCTTCAACTCAGAAAACATGCTACTTGCTTCATATAACATTTTTTACCTGAAGTGGAATCCAGGCTGTATTTTTTTGTCATCAAGGCGGCGGAAACCATACTTTGGATTGCAGTCGTAAAAGCTGTCCAAGTTACAGTCCCAGTTAATCTCAATGGCAATGATTCCTCCCTAGAAACAGACACAGTAAGCTTGGGGACTAGCGCTGTGATTGCTGCCTGTGCTAAACTGCTGTTAAAATCAGCGGAGACTTGAGGGATGCTGTTGGCAGGGACACATCTCTATAGACATGCTAACTCATAAGCAACATTTGCCAATCAAGCCATCTTCTATGGAAGTGTCTTAGTTACATGAGCTAGAGGCTCCCATTCATTCAGGCCTTTCCTATCTTCTATTTCTCTTCATCTTAGTAGCACAAGTGTGGATGTAGCTGATATACTGTGGTGGTTGTTTCGTTACTTTAAACTACGTATAGGCTCAAACCAAAAGCCTGAGTGCAAGCCTAAGTTTTGTAGGCCCCCAGTCCAAATGTTTCATCTTGAATGCACTGTGCCAGGCTGAGAATCAATAAATGTGTCTCAGTTGATGACTCTGGGCAGGACACTTTGTCTCTACTTCTATTCTACCCATCTGTTAATATTGACTTTTTAGAGGTATGGCTGGGTACTGTGTTAAGGGCATTTGGCTCAATACCCTAAAGAACAGAGTGAAAATGTAATGGCAGAAACAAGTGCTTTTTGACTCTGAATATAAGCTGCCATTTGTGGCAGTCTGACTTTTGGATGATTCCTGCAGCAACATGATTTAGGATCTGCTTGAGCAGAATCAGAAGATCACCACGAGTGACAGCCTTGTATAGGACCTATTTAAATGCACTGTGCTTTGTAAAAGGGCCTCTACATGCTACAATACTAACAAAATAATATCAAATCTGTCAACGTGGATCCCATCCTGGGAGATGTTAGGCACATTTAATTCTTGAAAGTTGGGGTTACTTTGCATCTCACACAATCAGTTTCTAAACCTAGAATAATTCCATTATATGGCAGACAGCAAAACATACAGGAAGAGAACCAAGAAAAAGTTTTAACAGTAAGCATGAAAAAAAGTGGTATCACAGACCTTTACTGCCACCTCAGAAAAATTCTCTTTTGCTTCCTGAAGGATATCTCCCAGACGGAAAATTGGACAGAGCGGGGAAGTTATCTTGTTGTATGTGCAGGAACTATTTAAATTTGCTGGAACATTTAGTCTGTGAAGAACACACACAACTGTTTAAATTTAAAATCAATCTGGAGCAGCTACAGATACAGGTAAGGGACTTCACACTTACTAGAACCGGTGTTAAATGTGCTCGGTTTGTAAGTATACGAGCTTTTGGGTTTGTAGCTACCAGACCTATATATCCCTAACTGGGATCTGGGAATCAAGATGAATTCTTTACTCTTTGGATATTATCACCAGCAAAATTTTACCTGTGTAAACTAAACACTTTCACCTTATAATTTGAATTGCATGTTTGTTGTGCTATATTTTAGTGATTTTACCCTAACATAAACCAGTATATCTGAACAAACAATTCTGTTGTCTAGTGCATGAGAGAAATAGAATTATGCTGGGAGGCTCTGTTCCTGGTTCCTGAAGGATTAATAGGGCTAAAGAATTATAGAAACTTGATATTTGTCACTCAGGCAGATACAGCCCTGAATGCATAGCCTTTTTGAGTAAAGAAGGTGCCAATTTATACAATCTTTTTTTCAGAGCACAACTACTCACTCTTCAGAAAGCATTGAGGAATGTTTGCACTTACATGGTGTAATTAAATTTTGGGAAGTAAATGTTGTTCTTTATTAGCACAGTGAAGTCTTCAGAACTCCTTAGAACAGCAGGCCTAAAAAAGAAACATCAAATTAACTAACTTCTTTTACTTAAATACATCAGTTAATGTTATGCTACTTTACTATTACCTGGAAAGCTGTCAGTAGGAGGAATATGTTGCTAAGAATAATAGATTGAAATGCAGGGAGTTAGGTGGCTCAGGGGATCAAGAAAGATAGAGGTGGTTTTCTTAATTTTAGGTATAAATTGTTCTCTCTATTGCACTTGTTTGTGTGGGCCAAGCCTAACTGGAGTCTTTACATGCAGCTGAAATATGATCTCAGGAGACTTCTCATATAAATCTTGCTATAGAATAGTAGTAAGAATTGTACCATTTGACAGCTGATGATTTCTGCACAATGAATTGGCAGTTTCATTGCTGGTCCCCACGGAGAGGTGGCCGTTTACACCAGAGCTGCACAGCTAGTCAGAGTATAAGAATGAGCCATACGCTCGATCCTAGAGGATGTCTCTGGAAGTCAGGTGTCAATCACATCACCAAAGGCTGTCCTGCCTTCCTAGCAGATACCGATTTGAGGACCTCCCCTGCAATGGTTTGTGTCACAGTGGTTTGTGTCACTAAATATGTAGGTGGAATGCAAACACAATGGAAAGGAGGCTGCCAGTCTGACCCTTCCTCAAAAGAGTGATTTCTCTGAAGCTAATGTGGCAGGAAGGAAGGAATTTTCCCACAAGTTGCCAGCTGGGTAACCTTGGCCTAGACTGTGAGACAACCTCTGCTACACTCCAGAACTACACTCTCAAAGTAAGAGATACAATTTTTAGCATTGTTTGTCTAGCATAGGGACTATGCTGAACTGGAATATTGGCATTGTTCCATTTTAAGAATGAGCCAGGAATATTTTAATTTCCATCAAGACAGCCATTCCAAGGGGGAAACCCAGTCTTCAAAGCAGTCATCCACATAAAGGACAGTGCTTCTAAGCAGGGAATATTTTTTCTATCATTGTATTTTGAGCAATGCCTCTGCATCAGAGATCTGTGATGACAAGAAGCACATTAGCTGCATGACATGCAGATTCCATGAGGGACTTCTCATGAGTGTCTTCTAAACCAAGTCAATGAATGAGAGTTGATTGCAAACCAAATTAACATTTGTGGATGCTACCTGGACACGAAAGTCACTGATGAGTTTCAGTGTATAATAGTCAAGACATCAATAATGTATATTGATTTTTAAAGAATTAAAAATGAATGAACTTATAATGTGAAACTGTCCTTAATTCATCCACTGGAAGCATCTGGAATCTGATCCAAAGCTTTTCTGAAAAAGTTATTGTAAACACCTGTCCTTCAGCCAGCTAATCTGACAACTGTGCCCTGCCTCAGGCTGAAATAAACAATCAAAAATAAAAGAATCTTCTTGCCAACATGCAATGGCTTTGTTCAGCTCCTGCCACAACTAACGGGAAGGAAAAGGAGGCCTCCTGTATAGTTCATGAAACTTACTTTTCAAAGGAATTTGGACAATAAAGACAATCATGGGTGTAACCAAAGCTCACCAATGCTACCTCAGTATCTCGACCAGCTGGCAAAGCTTCCTGGGCTCTGACCTTGGTCTTGTGTATCGTTCTGGTAGGAAACAAACACTCCGCTTTGCTTTTTAGTGATTCCTCATTTTTTCCTTGCCAATGGAACTTGTGAAGGAACTTTATACATCAGAGGTTTGGATCAAACCTCTCATCCATTATTTTTGGTCCCTGGTAGTGACTGACTATTGGCACATTAGAGGAAGGTTAGGAAACAAGACAGAATGTGTCAACTGTGCGATGTAATTAAAAGCAAAATTCCCTCTGTAACATACGCAGCAGTGAGCCTACGCAGTGTGACATTTAAAAATGACTAGCAATCACTGAAACTTTATAAAAAACCCCTAGGAATTCATTAACTCAGGAAGATCATGCATATCTTTCCCGGATGCTGTATGAACAATTGCAGCCTTTCTGTTGTTGGACAAAGCCTTTTTCAGATGACAACTCTGTCCGCAGGAGAATGGAATGGAAATTCCCTTAAAGAGCTGAAAAAAACTCAGCAGAAGGAGCTGTAGGAGGCATTGTGGGCTCTGGAGGGGACCTGGCAGAGGAAAAACTGCTCAGTCTCTGCAGAAAACCCTGAATTAGGGAAAAGATGGGATATATACATAGAATCATGCTTGTATCTTTTAAAAGCAATGAGTTAATAAAAGTCATAATTGACCTAGTTTCTTACACATCTATTTCAAAGCTGGTTGAGAGGAGCTAAAATTGATTATCATTTGCTCTCTTAGAGTATAATTTCCATCATTTCAGTTGAAATAAAATCTTTTATAAAATTTTTTCATGCTTTGGCTGATACAGAATAGAAATAGAACATTTTCATCTTGGAACACTGTACAGTCATGGGGTTACAAAAAAAGATGGCTACGAGGCCCCTCCATCCTACTCTTTAGGTCACAGCAGCATTGTTCTGTGGAATCTTTTTCCTAGAGTTTTCTTCAGCTCACTATTACAGATTGCCAGCATTGAGGTTTTCATCATCTACCTAGAGAGGATGGAGAGACTGTTCTTCACTCTGAGGTGGATCCCCAAACACTAGTCTGCAGCACAACGTACAGACAACCAATCTACACCTACTGTTCTGGGAGGTGGAAGCAACCTCACTGTGATAAATGAACCCACAAAGAACTTCTACACCATAGAGCCCTAAGCCTTGCAGAATAAAACCCCAAGTTAGGAAACTTTTTATTTCTGTCACTGATTAAACCTATCTTACGTTGATGCATTTTCCTTGACATTTGAATTAATGAGCCAAATGCCTCTAGTGAATTCAAGATGAGCCTGTGACATCTAAAACTGTTTCTATGGCAGCTGCATGATGATACAAACTGAAGGCTATGACTTCACTGCAGAATCATACAGCAGGACAGATTGTTAGAAGTAAGTTATTTAGATATTATGAGTATTAACAGCTATGAAGGAAATGGCTCTTTTACATACATGAGATCTATATGTGCCTAGGCAAAGGGATTATTCTAAAATTTCATTACTTTGTCAAAGTAAATCCTTCTTTTGACATAAAAAAAAAAATGCAGATATCTCTTTCACTTACTCAGGGGGTTTTTCCATGGATTCCACAGGGCACCATGCCTTGACCTCACAGGTTTTAACAGTTGCATTGTAATTCACACATCTTCCTGTTTGAATTCCTGTAGAGAAACAAGCTCTTACTCAGCAAAGACAAGAGTTTTTTGCCAATTAGAGACAGTTCCAACATGTCAGCGGATTCCTCTTCAAATGTAAGATAGGGAGCTTGACATTTCAGATTGTTGCAGCTTTCTATAGGAGGAAGCTGTAGGAAGAACTACCCAAACCGTGGTCCTGCCACACCTCATCAATCCTTATTTAGCTGTTTGCTTGGGTCAAGAGTGCTTGTCATTGTTCGGGCTGAGGGTGAAGTAATTTCCTTCACAATTTTATATGAAGTTACATATCTGAGTCTTGGGATAAATCGAGAAACCAACTGTTTCAGTCAGAAGTTTAGTTCAACACCATAAGCAAATTAAACAAGGATATAAAGGTGGGCAGAAAACCTTAATTCCTTTTGTAATCCTGGAAAGTCAGCATTTTCTGTGAGTGTTTAGTCTTTACCAGGGAAAGTGATAATCCAGCCAGCAGCCCATATTCAGGGAATCTGAGCACTACAAAGAACTCACATAGCTGATGAAAACAGTATGATGCCTTCTGGACAACTGGTCCCAAATAAAGAACACAAGTCCCCTGACTTATTCTGAGAACTACGTAACCATCACAGGGATGTTACAGACCCTTCAAACAGATCCTGCAGTCACTCCACTTGCTAAGCAGCCACGGACTTCACTGGGAGTGACTCTGAGATCAGCCCTCATTCACACCAGTCTGTACTCTTCTTCCCATCTCCCCTTCCTCTGCTCCCTCTCACTGTTTCTCCTTTTAGTAAGAGCACACACAAGCTGATAAGAACTCGGTTTTGTGGGTTTGAAAATATGTTCTCAGATATCTCTTAGGATTCTGTACTGCTTTACTGCAACTCTCCAAGTTGGATCTTGCATGTGCTGCACTGGTCAATAATGCAATAGAAGATAGTACCCACAGAAAAATATTTCAACCTGAAAATGCCTTTTACGTACCATGACTGTGGATATTTACACTCCCTTTTTCACAGGACTTGTCTGAAGAGCAGATAGCTTTGCCGAAGGGATACTGGAAAAAAAAAATTGCATAAAAGAGCAATACAAATATCTCCCTCTCCACACCTATGTGAAAAGTCTTACTCAGCTTCAGTGTAAAAATATCAAATAATAAGAGAAAACAACAATGCGGAGCAAGTATAACCCTTACTAATTATTTGGCTTATAGGAGATAAAGGCTCAGCTACCTGCAAAAACAGAAAAAAGCCCTTTCCTTGCTTACAATAACATTTTCCTTTATCATTTATGTCTTTTCCCATTTTTCACACTCTCTCCTGTACTATTAAGCACAATAAATTTAATACTGGACTATTTAATTGTTTGTTACTAACAGTCCCATATACTTTTGCCAGTGAAAGTCAACTTGTATTCGGAAACTACTCTGCAATACTACTCTGTATTTGGTCCCACTTCTAGGCCAGCCAAATGAAGAGGAGAGCTGCAGCTGACGACCAGGTTTGACCTACAGAAAGGAAGGAAGGGGACATGTAGGAATGAGCACCAGTAATAGAAAGAGCACCATATTAGCAGAGAAGCTGACAGCAATTCTGTAGCTCCATCATTCCTTCAGGTTTTCCTCAAGAGCAGCAGCAATGCCAGAGAAGCTGGACAGCAATCACTGGACTAAACGTCATCACCTCCTGAAAGCAATGCAATAGGTTTGGCTGCAAGGTCATTGGTGCAAGGCAAAGTCCCAACTGCCAGATGATTACCCGAGAAAGAAAAGGAGCAATTAAATTAGATCTTGCATGTTATCTGCTGAGCAACAGAGCATAAAGAGCAACAGTAAAGAGCAACAGTATTTGCTTGTACCGGACTGCTCCAAGGACAGTCCACTCTTCTACATCAACATGCATTCGATACATGTTAAGTATAAATCATAAAACATATTTACCTCAGGGCACCTCTGCTCAAACTGATTCTCTGTCTTAATGATGTTGGTCATCACGAAAAAAGAGTTTACTGCCTACATGGAGGAAAGAATATGAATCTGACTGAAATTTCACATACTCAATTCAGACCTCAGTCATTCAAGAACATCACCTGGAAGGACAACAAGGCTGTTCCTGCTCTGCCTCCCCCGATAGACATTCAGATTCTACCCAGCTCAAACAGGAAAAGCCAGGGACATCATCAGGGCACGAATGAGCAGCCAGAGGCAAGAAAGCACTGATTTTTTTAAAAAACTGGTGTTACAAACAAGGAAGATGATACACTAGCGTTAACTGGTGATAACACTACTGTGTTTAGTACAGCTATACTGGAGTGAATCTATTCTTAGGTTTGCTAAATACTAGATTGATTATGTAAAAATTGTGTAACAAATAGCACCACAGAAATCTCATAAAAGAGAATAATTTTTTTTCCTTATATTAAGGGAAAAAGGGAAGATTTGGCTTTAAACATTGCTGTCTCCAACATAATCACATTGAATGGTAGGATAGAGACATGTCAGGAAAGCAACCAGATTTATCAATGGAAGTTGAATACTGGACTAACATTAAATTAAGACTTACCTGCATTGGTATAGTGTATTCTGCTGTATCCCAGATCCTGTCGTTTGTGTAAGCCACTCCCTTCACATTAGTGCGAACTGAGCTGTTAACTTCATCCGTCTCCTCATAGAGTCTGTAAATGATGACTATACAACTGGCCAGATAAAACAGAAAGGACAAATAAGCCCATAGGAATAAAATGGGTCACCTTCTTTGTATCATTCTTGGACAAAACGCACTGCAAATTAAAAGTCAGATGGACATTTTCAAGTAATTGAGAGCCTTTTTGTGTGAGACACATGCATCAGCTGGACCAAAGTCTGCCTTGGTTTCACTTTCGCAACTTCGGCTTTGTCAGAAATGAATTGATATATGCAAGAAGAGAATTTCTATTTTCCCATCCTAAATGATAGACAAAATGAGGTGACATCCTTGGCCCTTCAGATGCCATTTGTGAAACGCCAATTAACTACAACAGGGCTTGATGTAATCCAAAAACTTTCACCCATGCTGCATTGCTGTTTACCTAGACTTTGACTTTTTCTGTCACAAACGGTAGTGTCCTTTCTACAGGTTTGGGTTTTTTTAAGAGTGCTTAAAACACTTAGTCTTTAACTTGCCAGAGTGACTATTTTTGTGCCTCATGCTGATTGCTTCAAAAACCTTGGCCTAATGTTTTCGCTTTCTCATGAATTAAATGTGTTAATAAAAGGAGGAAGGACACCTCTGTTTTTAAGCTGACAGGAAAGTCATCCAGCTCATCTAACTCATAAAAGCACCGTCAACTTTGAAAAACTATTGCATGTTCAGAAGATACTTTCCACACTACATAAAAGTGATATAAAAGGTTTGCTTTGAAAAACAAACCACAAGAGCTAGCACCGATTCATTTTAACAACACACTGTTCTGGGGGGGATAGTATCTGAAGAACAGAAATACAAAGCAACTGATCAATGTTCCTTTATTTATATCATCTATTTTAATAGCATTTCAGCCTTTTCCTTCTGGAGATCAGTGCTTTGGGGTAACCATGTTGTTGGAAACTGGCGGTGGGAACCCAGCTCTGAGCAGCAGTAGGTGGGTATAGTACCTTAGTAAGGCAACTTGAATTTCCTGCAGACTTGATTCTTTGTGAGATTGGGATCAGTGTGCTCAATGTCCTGGCTTGCTGCCGTCCCATGAGAATGAAACCAACTTTATGAACTTCGGCAGATTTTGTTCAGCAAACACTTATCACTGAGAACAGCCCTAGTTTGGCAGCAAAGAGGAAAATCTGCCCTTTAGAGGCAATCAATTATTGCATATTCCTAAAACATCTTATTGTTCTTGAAATCTGCTGCAAAGGGTGACTTGCCATTTCATCTGACCCTGAATAGGAGACTCTACAGAGCAGACTCTAATCTCAGAAACGCTGGTGTAAATCTGAGATTATTCAGTGGAGTTATTTTGGATTTTTCAGACAAGAAACAAAACCAGACAGCATGGCAAGAAACAAAACTGAAAGTGTTTTTTAAAGGAAGTTTAGTTAACTCTGTCCAAGCAACCCCACCTGTTAGATAACGTCCTTTGCCACACTCCCACCACAAAGTTCCCACAACTACATCCATCTTCCAAGAACGGTCTAACACCAGATCAATGATCTTGTTTGCTGCCACAAAACTCAAAGCACTGAAAGCCAAGTTGTAACCAGACAATAACCCCCAGCCCCCAATACAAGAAGCATTTGCTCACATACAACACAGCATCCCATTACCATGCACTTACCAAACAGACAGAGCAACAGTTACATAAAGCAAACACTTCACAAATCCCCATGTAACACTCTGCATGCGTATGTATTTCGGAGAGTCATACTCAGTCAGGAACTTCAGCCAGCCACGTACACCCATTGCTAGCACTTCTTGTGAGGAACCGACTTTCAAAAAGCACAGCTGCCTGGTGCTGTCTTTGTCCACCCCTACATCCTTTCTGGGCCATCCCACTTAAAGGCACAGTCAGAAACCTGTAGGAGAATGGTACCACAGGCCCTTTAAAGAACAGCAGTTGATGGAATCAAGAACTGCCTGAAGAGCCACGTCCTTTGATTTGTTCACAGAAAAAGCACCAAATTTCACCCTAGAGCTCCAGAGCTGATTGCTCAGCACTGTTCTTGTTACCTTCTGTTGATGGCACCATTTCTCCTCAGTACTACCAGACTTTGCCAGTCTGAAGTAACATTGGGACAACTGTAGAGATAGAAAATGGATGGAATCCAGTGTCACGCTGACCTCCTTCTGGGCCTGACTCTCCGCCACCCAACACTTTGCATCAATGCAAAGAAGGTGTAATGCACTTCTGGACTAGGCAGATGCATGCAACACCCACCTCACAGGGGTTGCAATGGCCATGCAAGGCACAGGGCAATGGTAAAGCAAGCTTTTGGGTCATCAATGGCCACAGAGATCTCCAGCTTCTTATCTCACATTACATGGGACACCATCCTGTTTGGTCTTATATTGGCTTTGTATCAGGTCATGAGATTAAAAGGGAGTGACAAAAGTCACTACTCCTCTAGCAGAGCCAATACGTGGCACACACTTTGGCTGCAGCCTCTCCTACTCCACAGAACCATGCACAAGCCAGAGCTCGTCGGTCTGCTGCAAGCCAGCTATTTGCATCTGGTCCAGGGGGTCAAGGAGCAGGTGTGAGGCCACCATCTGACACTGTAAACACAGGAAGAGGAGATGTAAAGATGCGGAGCTGTCAAGGTGGGACCTGTAAATCTCAGGCGCAGAGTCTGAAAGACAAGAAGTTTGGATCAGAATCCGTTAGACCCAGATTAAAAGGACCATGGTCCTCTCTCTTGCAACAGAAGACCCACATAGAGGCACAAAATATACAAACCCTACAATTAGATCTCTAATGTTTTTCTTCCAATCCTTTAGTATTTTAAATCACTTAAGATGCTACCTATGGCTGTAGTCATGAAAAAATATTCAGAACCAGACAGGCTTCTTGGCTGTCGGTATTGTCTTAAATGCTTTAGCACACTGGAACAGGTTATATTCTGCACAAACAGGCTTAATTTTTTGAGACATCAGCGATCACTCCTTAGGCTTTTCCTGACCACAATCCATACTGCTATGGTTGGTATTAGTGACACTTCACCAACCAAAATCCCACTACATAGTAACAACTGAAAAAACTGCAAGTGGGAAGAACCAGAAACAGACCTGTGATGCATTTAGGTGCTAGAATAGCCACAGAGACATTGATTTTTAATATAATGCAGTCAGACCTATGTGTACATACACACAACACAATATTTAAAATAAAAGAGACAAACAGGAGGACTCAGATTGCATAAGCGAAGCAGAAGTAAGTGTTGTCTTCTCTTCCTAAATGCTCTTGTTTTCACATTAACGTCTTCCATCTGTTTGGGATCTGACCTCAGCAGTTCAGCCGGACGTATTCATCTTCTTGCCCATGATGTTCCCATATAAGGTGATCTCTCTTTGCCCCTGGAGCACGACTTTGATTTGCTCAGGTTTCCTTCCACTCTGATTTGCTGGCCTCTATGGTTGAGCTCTCTCACAGTTTTGCAAGGCAGTCATCCACACAGCAGTAGCTATAAAGGGAGGAGAATGTCAGGAGGGAGTAATGAAGCTGTGCCTGCAGATCTAAAGAGCTCTGGATAGTTTATTTGCAGGCTCCATTCTCTTTCTTCCGCATGTTGCCTCTGCATGATGCCTTTTCAATAAGCAGCTTCCATAAGCCTTTCCCAAGCAATATAAAACATAAGCCCTATCCAGAGAACTGTTACAATAACTCTCATGTCATTACGAAACTTTGCTTGAAACCCTGCATCACTCTCCATGCAAACTAACTTGGGAATTTGGAAAATGCCCCCAGAATTATACAACAAATATATATGAACACTGGCCTTCGATTCTGTTAGACTTGATCCAGATAGCACATCACCCCAACTAAGATACCTTAAGACAAGTTAAGCATCAAACAAATAGCTGCTTCCTGTAATATTTACCCAAGGCTGCACTGAAAGCTATCACCTCTTTTATGTCTGTGAAGATTCTGTTGTGATACAGAGGTCAAGACGCTGAGCTAAACCTTAATTTTTTTTAAGCAGTAAGTTTGAAAATTCAGACACCGCTACAGACTGTAAATATCAAGCAGCAGGCGGGCAGCCTGGGGTTGCAGTGTGGCTACTTTGGGCTGCGCATGCAAGTAGCATAAAACCGTTGGAAGAAAGGATCATGAAAACATACAACTTCAAGGATGACACAGGATCCCCCACGCTTTCCCCAAGTTGGGAAGTCCCATAGAACTTGGCTCCGATGTATGATTTTGCTCCTGCCTTCAATCAATTGAGCTTTCAAAGAGTCCAGCAAGCCGGAGCTCAGCCAGTCCAGTTCTAATGACGTCTGGTCTGGTCTCCTTCCCCAAGAGTCAGAACAATCAGACTTCAAGGCTTTCCACCACGACAGAGTGAAACAATCTCACCATCTTTTTTTCTTCTTATCTTGGCATTTTCTAAAGTTTTCAGACATCCTTCCTCTTCTTTATCTGTTACCTCTTCAATGTTACAGAGACATGAGAAGAGGGGAATGGTCCTTTGCTTCCTGGAAGGTGTAGGGACTGAAATAATCTGATGTAAAGGAGAATCTCAGAGCAGCACCCTCCCACTGTACCCAGCACAGATCCGTCTCCATCCACAGCACTGTGGGCACAATCGCTCTCTCCTCTGCACCAAGGTCTGAAGAAAGGATCAGTATTTACAGAAACAGCATTTCTCTAGCATTAAGTGGTGGACCCACATCCACCACTTCCTATTACCTATTAATGTGATCTACAGGGAGCAGACCTGGCCCCCAGCGCCTCCACAGGAAATACCGTTTTCATTTGCTCTCCCTGGGTATTCTATATGCTCAAAATACTCATCAGAAGAAAAGTGTAATTGATACCAGGAAAGCATGTCAAGGGAAAGTAGATCTCTTCTGGGAACTTGTAGGTAGATACGATTCCTAAAGGTCAGTATACAGACTGAAAGCACAAAGGAAACATGATCTGGTTTTAAAGTTCAAATCCAGGAGTCAGGAGACTTGGATTATGTTCCTGGCTCTACCACAGCTTTCATGCACAATCACAAGCAACCCATCCATCCCCTTTGTAACTTAGTTTAGCCAGTTAAAAGCCAATGCAGTGTCACTTTTCAGGCTTTCCGTGAAGACCAGTAAATTAGTATTTTATGAAGTCTTTTCTGTTCTTCAGAAAGAAAAAAGGAGCTAACCTAAGATAGATGCAGTGCTTAGAATTGCAAAGGATTACATTTATGATTGCTATTTACTGAGTCAAATTCTGCAGTGATTTACAACCTGTGCATTTCAATTGGCACCAATATGACTCACTGCATATTTTAATCCATCATCTGTGGACTCACATGAGATTCTAGGACTATCCAAGAAGCTAACTGCAACAGCAGAGGCTCAAAAATCATCTATTTAAGGTCTAAATACGAGTTTTTAAGGGTCTGCAACAAAAAACTTGCAGGTCAAGAGATACCTGTTTCATTAACAAGTTTCACTTTAATATATAGTCTATTTTTGATTGTTTGGTATTTTTGAAGATCCTGTCCGTGCTTCAGATTTAGCATAGCTAGCACTACGTATTTATTGCTACTTTGAGGCACACTGACAACTGATGTTCAATCCTGAGGACATAAATTTGCCATTTGCCCCTAATGAAGCCTGGGCACAGGA